ATCTTTTAACTAAAATAAACTGCCACCTTAAATATTGGTTAGTTTTTGTGTTTTACAGTTTTTATGGGTGGGTTGGATTATCATATTTATTTTCTTTCCCCCATCTTCTCTCGCTAACTCTCATTGTCTCTATCTCCTTGTATCTCTTTTTCGCATTTCTCTTTTTGCTTCTTTACACATTTATAAAAAAAAACTCATTTCAAGCCAAGCATTGCAATAAACCCACTTAGAATGTTATAGAATCGAAAGAAAGAAATTGAGAGGACAGCAGATAACGACTGACATTGCATTTAAATTTTTGAAGATCAAAGCTGACTGTAAACAAGAAGCCGGAAGAGACTTCCATAAGCAAAAAGTGCGAGAGAAGAAATTGTTAGTATAGAACTTGCGGTTACACTTAGCCATTTCAACTATAAATTCATCAGACTTTGCCAACAGTCTGATTATTCGCTTATATTTACAAAGCCTGGACACTATAGAGCAAAGCGAATCAGAGCAATTGCCGTGAATATATTTTTGAAAAGACAGGAAAGATACGTTACGGTGGTGGGCCAGTGACTAAAGTTGAGATGCCAGATCAGGACCAATAATATTGCAAATTCTTCCTTGGGCTTTATCAAGAAGCTCTAAATATATATCAGAAGCACCAGACCGGATATATATGTAAAGTTGATTTATGGCGAGAAAGATTGTCTAGCACGACTCAGGGGACCAACTTACCTAGCAGTGGAACCAGCAATTGATGCAATGTAACATTTCCACTTTTTATCAGCGGAAAACTTTTGTCCCAGAAGATGTAACGAGTCTCTCCTGAGGTTAATATCAGCCATGGTGATGGAATTTAAAAAGGGCTCCCTCAGCTGATTAAAAGAGAATAGTTTCGAATTGGGGGCGTTAATATTAACAAGCCATTCCCTGCCCCAATTAGCAACAGATTATATGACATCTTTTACATTAGCTTCCACTGATATCATTATTTATATGGCGAAGGAAATCATAGTTGTTTCCCGCGTGAACTTCTTTACTATAATGGTCTAACTTTACATATGGTTATTGGTCAAATCGTATTGAATAAGCCTTAATTTGAAGCTTGATGAACCATCTGTTTTCCTGTATAATTTATTCAGTGCAATTTGACCGTTGCCCTTATGTGAGGTTCAACAAATACATTTATAGGAAAATAATCATGCAAATTTCAGACTGGATAGACCTAAGTCAAACAGGTGCAACAATTTAGATATCCGAGAATCGTATTGATGTGACACCATTTAGGGTTGCTATAAAGAGAAAAGAAAAAGGAAAGAAAAAAAAAACATTACATTGCATGTAGAACAGAAGAAGATGAAAAAAAACATTACATTTGCATGTAGGACAGAAGAAGATGAAAAGAACATTACATTTGCATGTAGAATGAAGAAGATGAAAGAAACATTACATTTGCATGTAGAACAGAAGAAGGTGAAAAGAATATCACCTTGAATGTAAAACCGTAAAAAAAAAGAATAGAAGAATAGAAGAATAGAATTGCATGGGACAGATGCATGATGCATGATGCATGCTAAATGGTGTATTTGGGTTTAGGTGTCATTTACGAGTAAATGACAAATAGGTTAGGGGAGGATTGTGACACAATTTAGGGTTGCTAGAAGGAGAAAAGAAAAAGGAAAGAAAAAACAAAAAAAAAGAAAGGCGAGTGTTAAGTTTAGATGATAAAAGAAAGCCATCATGAAAGGGACATTAAGCGGTGTTATTTTGACAAGGAAAAATGGTGAACATTTTTATTGCCATTCTCGAGAATTCTAAATAGATAAAAATTAACTGCGTCATGGTGGCGAACTTATATTATCGGGAATAGATAACGCCAGAATGTGAAAGCGTCTAATGGGCCAACCGCTTGGTGATGGCGAAAAGCTAATTGACGAATTCTAGCTGGCCTCAGAGACAGAATTCTAAATAGATAAACATTTAACTGTGTCACGGGAATTTAGATATCCGAGAAACGTATTGACATAGGACAGAAAGTACGGCACGGAAATCCCAATACGTAATTGGGATAGCGAAAGTGCCTTGAAAAAGCTGAGCAAAGTATTAAGAAACAACTAAAATTACACCTTTAAGTGCCGACTCTAGGTGTGTCATCAGTGTTATTGCTCCCATATCACTAGAAGTTTCGGGCCTAAATAAACATCAGACTTGTTCGATGGGCGACCCGACCGAATATGATCATTATTCGGCCCGCACCCAGAGTAAATATCGTTAAAAAAAAAAACGAAAAAAGAGCTGGACTGCTGTATAGCATCAGTCTTCTTCTATGTCAGTAGATGCTGGACATTCTCCTCAAAGATGAAGAACAGACTTTAAACAACAGAAATCTGGTTAAAAAAGAAATACTGAGAATACCTTAGATTGAACATGTCAACAACGACGAAGTTCTAGAGACAATAGCAACGAAAGAGACACCAGGAAGAGACAGCTGAAATAAGGAAAGACGTCTTGGAAAATATGACACACAGAGGACAGATTGAAAATAAGAGGGTTAAACGAAAGCCAGTCATAACTTACCCAGCGAGTCCAGCAGGATTTCTGAGAAAGAGCAAAAAGACAAAAAAGAAAATTAAAAAAATATTTGTGCCTCCGTCAGGAATCGAACTTGGACAATCTTTCTTTAGCAGGAATTATTAGTGCATGCTGATTGCAATGTTTATTTAAATAAAAACTCAAAAACTGGTACCCACTAAAAATAACTTTTTATAATAAGAACTAATGTGGATAAATCGTTGCAAAAATATATATCCACTATGCAAACCAATTTCTCCAATCTTAAAAATATCAAAATATTTACAAATCCCAAACTGTTATGGATCAGAAGCGAAAACATTTCTAATAGTAATATTTCTGATGCAGGTATATTTAAAATATACTGTCAGAACTGCTCTTTACAATATATTGGTGAAACTTGCAGAAATTAATTAAAAAAAAAAACATTTGTATGAACACAAAAGAGAAATTTACACAAAAATGTATAAAATGTATTAGTTATCTTGATCAAAAGAATACCATAAGAAAAAAAATTCGAGAGTTTCGCTATCGATTCATATTAAAATATAAATCTGCGCACTATTTACATTATTCGGACTATTGTTTTCATCTTTGTCGCCATATTTATTACAACGTTTTGGCCGTCTTCAGGTGGTTGGAATGTCGAACTGAACCCTTCATTTCGCTCACTGGGGTAGTCGGTTCTACTTCAACGCGCCATGTTTAATGGATGTCAGTTATCAGTTATCTCCTGTTAATTCCCCTCTCCAATTCCTCCACTGCCTTAACCGGGTATTGAACTCTTTGGGTCTTGTCACCAAATTAAACTAACGCCTTTATCCACTGTGCCATGTGTCTGTGAGGACATCTTTGTATGAATTCCTTGGTATTAAATACCTAATGTCTTCAGCAACCATTTTTATCAGTGTTCATATTGCAATTTTCATTGTTATTATCACTTTTCTCTGGCTCCTTATTACTGGTTCCCATATTGTATTCATTTCTATGCTTGGACGGCTGAGGAGATTTTTGTGGCCTATCATATGTGCTGATTCCTTAAGTTTACGAATTTTCCAATGGTGTTCGTTGTGTGGCACCATGCATAATTAGAAAACTGAAAAGAAATATTCATAAATATATGATTTGTTTTTTTCGGTTTGTCAACCATTTGATAATTATTTAGGGCTGAAAAATATTTCGGGGTTAGGAATAATTCTTTCTTTACATTCAGGCGATCTGGGAGAAAGAAAGAAAAGAAGGAGAAAAAGAAAGAAAAAAAAAAGAAAAATACAATACGAAAACCAGGTCATAAGCGAATAAACACACGCTCGATTGATACATAACAGATGTTGGAAGATATTCCCGGTCAAGTACCTGACCTACTTCCGTGTCCACGAAAAATGAAAGTTTGTTATCAATTTGGTTGAAGAAATAAAGTTTAGAGACAATGGGAAAAAAATATGATAGGTAACAGGTGGGGAGTTTATCTAAAGATATACAGGCAAACCATTAATACGAGAACCCAGACAATCCCAGAATTGAAAATAAAGCCACAAAAGGTGATGTAGAAAATGTTTTTTTGAGATAATTAAGATTTTTGTTAACAAGCTCCGAGCGAAAGAAAAAAGTGAAATATTTTTATTAGCTCGCGAGAACGCCACCCAGTCTGGGAAATCCCTTTCTTAGATCGTATCCAATTAGCGATAAACTGTTTGACAAATACCGCGTGTAAAAGAAACCGAGAGCGTAATTTCGGTCACGTACGAAAAGGGCAATTTAAATTTTTGTTTTTTTTAAGCAAGGTGTTTCTCCCCCCAGAACAAAGCCATGGATTGTCCACGCCCGATTAAAGACGTCACGAAGGAAGGAGGAAAGATACCGACCAGAGCCTCATTGGCCGAAGGCGGTCACATGATACATGAAGAAGGAGGAAAGATACCGACCAGAGCCTCATTGGCCGAAGGCGGTCACGTGACGTGCGAGGGAGGAGGAAAGATGCCCGACTAGGACCCATTGGCCGAGAGCGGTCACATGACATACGAAGGAGCGGGGAGGCGGGTATACGCCCCAGAGGCACAGTAAGGGAGTAGGGTGAAAGTAAGTTACCGAAAATGTAAAATCCCTAATCAGAAATAAGAAGGGTGGATACGTATTTAGAATTATCCAGAAAACCCTGGCGCCGACAGACCCACCCCAGTTTTTGACTGCATCAATAAAAGCGGGACCCCAACCGACAGAAATCAGTTTTTGCAGCGCGGACGGCGAGAGAGAGTTGCGCCGCGGACGGCGGGGGAGTTTGAGCGCAGACGGCGCGCCCGGTTCATTCG